GCTCTCCTGCTTGCTCTTCCTTTGCATCACTGTGTCTCTGGGTGTGTGAAAAACGTGCCTTTCTACTCAGTTTTATTTCATCTCATTTCTGTCTTTCCTTTTTGTTCCTGTCATATTGATTGGCTAATTTGAACCTGATCTTTTCCTGGGTGGTTTTGATTTAGTTAAATTCTTTCACTACCCAACTACTGGTCTCATGAAGGTCATTCTTCCATCATTTCTTCCTTTTTTTAAGTTTTAAGGGTCAAACACAGGTCTCACATGTGCTCCCAGAGTTATACTCCAGTCTTAATACTGCCTTTGATTACCTGCTGTCAACTAAGCTTATGAAGGGTTGATCTATTCATGAACCCTATGTTTGAACTTGTTTTACCAGAGAAATTCTTGGGCAGAGGGTGCTTGCATTGCATTTTCTTTGGAAAAACACCTGATCTAGTCAAATGTCATTGCTCACAGGTACCAGTTTCTCCGAACAATCAAGTTACATGATGTCTACCACAAACTGCACCACAAAAGTGACACCAGATAGCTTACCACTGGGGAAGTCAGTCAGCAGTATCTACCAAGAAATCAAGCCATTTGCAGTCAAAGGATTTTACAAGATTTAGGGTTTTTTTTTGTTTGTTTTGTTTTGCTTTTGTTGTTTTTGTTTGTTTGTTGAATTTTTTTTGAGACAGGGTTTCTCTGTGAAACAGTCCTGGTTGTTCTGAAACTTACTCTGTAGAATAAGCTGTCCTTGAACTCATAGATATCTGCCTTCCTCTTCCTCCTAAGTGCTGGGATTTATGGTTTGGTTTTAATCCAGGCATTTAAGAATCATTCTTCTACACAAAAGAGATTATCTTGAAACTTTCGCTCTCTAATGTGTTCTGTTCCAAATAATTTGGGGAAATTTTAGTGTCCCCCTGTTTAGTAATGGACAATGGAAAGTTGTAACCAACACTTCAGAAAGAAGGTAACCAGGGCTGTTCTGTGGAGGTTAGAAGAGGCCACTCTCTGGGCAAAGAACAAGTCCTCAAGTCTCAGTGCCTTTGGCCTCTGCATTACGGTAGAACTTGAGCTTAGCTTGCGTCATCTACATTTCACCCAATCAAGAAAGGCCAAGGAGCTTAAGGGAGAAAACAAGGATCTCCCTGGGAAAGAGAAATAGAATAGATTTAGCAGGTGGACTGGGGGTGGGTGGGATTGAGAACAGGAGGAATCAGATGGTGAAGGGGAAGGGAGAAAGTAAATACTGGGAGAAAGGACTGGAATTTGGGGGTGGTTCAGGAGCAAAGTGGAAACCCAATGCAATGGAAATGCCATGAAATCTACCTAGAGTAACCCTTGCAAAGACTCCTAGTAATGGGGGGAGGGCATGGAGCCTGAACAGGACAACCATCTGTAACCAGATAAGGCCTCAAGTGGGACACCAATCCAGCCACAAACCTATAGTTTGTTCTGCCTGCAGAGTGTTCTGTGACCAGAGCCTAGCAGAATTTTCATCAACGAGACCAGAAAGACTTCATCAGCAACTAATAGGAACAGAAGCAGAGTCCCACAGTCAAAACTTAGGCAGAGCTCTGGGAGTCCTGCGGAGGAAAGGGGAGAAAGTACAGTAGAAACCAGATGGGTCGGAGACACGAAGAGAACATGGCCCACAGAATCAACTGACCTGGATTCGTGGGGCCTCTCAGAAATGAGGGAGTCTGTAGGGGTGTGGCTATCATCTGCATATATGTTATGGCCGAGTAGCTTGGTGTTCTTGTGGAATTCCTATCCACAGAGTTGCGAGGGCAACTCTGACTCTTTTACATACCTGTATGACCTTTTCCTCCTACTAGGTAGCCTCATCTAGCCTTGATGTGATGGTTTAATTGTAGCTTGTTATGTCGTGTTTGGTGGCTCTCTCTGAAAGGCCTGCTCTTGTGTAAGGGGAGGCAGAGAGGGATGGATCTGGTGGGGAGGGGAGGTAAAGGAACTGCTGTCGGGATGAAATATATTAGAGAATAATACTCATAAAGAATGGCCAAAGAGATAGGCTTACTTGACCACTGGGAAACTTGTGAGTGTGCCAGCACCCACTTGTAATCTGCACTCACACTGGCTCGTTTCTCAGTCCCCTGAAAGGAGTTGGTTTTCATATTGAAGTGGTTGGCTGGCATTCTGTCCCCACTTATTGTTTCCAAGTCTGAGCTACTATCCAAGTCATTATTAGGTGACATCAGTTTTTTTTTCTTTTACAAAAGCATACTGACTGGAAATTGACTTCCCTTTCTGTTCATTCTTCTTTCACATGGGTAGTATTATTTTGATGTTAAAATACATAAGTTTTCACTGATCTTAAAATTTCTTGAGAATTACTCATGCCTTTACCTGATTATGTGACCTCAGACTTCCTGCGGTATACCTGGAATACTCTTTCTGATTCATCTGTGTTGCAAATTTCAGAATTCTTCCATTCTGACTGAAAGATAGTATTTTAATAATATGTACAATACCATAATAATGTAATATGTAAATGCCAATATATATGGACTCTCTCTCTATGTCACATCTTCTTTCTTTATTCATCTAAATATATGGAAACATAATTGAAATCAGTATTTTGGCTATTGAAAATAACATTAAAGCTAACAGGAATGTATAGATATGACTTTTCCATGTTGACTTCATTTTCTCTAGAGGCATCCTTAGCTGTGGAGTCACTACATCCCTGTTCTACTTTGACTATTTTAAAGAACCTCCATGATGTCTTCCACATTGGCTATTCAATCAGCTTTATCACTAGCAATGAGGAAGGGCCTCTTCTGTATTGTCTAGAACTTAGCTTCTTATATTATATCCTAAGATACAGAGTAATGCTTCATTGCTGTTCTGGTTTATATTTCTGCAGTGATTAGCAGTAATTTTTTTCCATGTATTTCTGTGCTGTTTGTCTTCCTTTGAGAACTGTCCTTAGAATTTTGACTCTTTCTTATAGAGGTTCCTATCATGGTTGTAGTTTCTTTATAAGTGTGTGTTTTGTAAATATTCTCCATCCACATTCTCTCTCTTCATTCTGTCAATTGCTGCTCTCCTGGAGAGAAACTCCTTAGTCTAAGTGATCCTGTTTGCTGTGTTACTTTTGTTTCCTGAGATGTTTTCATGTGTATGTGTGTGTGTGTGGGGGGGTCCTATGAATTTCTCAACCCTGGGATATGCTCATTGGTTCTTAATGGACATGGCACCAAGATTCTTAACTTCTTTCTGACTCCGACAGCCATGACCTCTAAATTTCTATTCTGTTAACAGTTAACAAAACAATAAGCAAGTAATAAGTTTATTTTTAGTGATTGAATACCATATTTTATTTTTAAAAATCTCAGAAAACATGAAAAAAAAAAGACGAGCATAAAGTTGAATGGTGAAGGCTGTGAGTTGTATTCAGAAGAAATTACCCAGCTGATGGATACTGACAGCCCTTTGATAGACATGCGTTAGCATTTATAGTTGGAGTCTTTGGAAAATTTTCTAGTTTTTATTTTAAAAATTTTCATACATTTTGATCATATTTGTTCCTCTGTCCCAACATTTCCCAGATTCTCTCTACCTCTTTACTGCCCATCTTCATGACCTCTCTCACTGTCTTCTCTCCTCTTTCAAAGAATCAAAAAGCAAAAGAAAACAAACAAACTCAATAAGATAAAAAATACCAAACAAAGCCAAACCAAGACAAAAAAGGATATGAAATACACGGAGTACATTTTGTGTTGGGCAGCTGCTGGGCATGGAGCCTGCCCTGGAGTGTGGTGATGTACCTAGGGTTATTCCATTGGAGAAAACTGATAGTTCCTTTCCCAGAAGGCATGGATTATATAGCTTCTTGGTCAGGTGAAGAACTTTCTATTCACTTCCCCTTTTCAGAGCTGGGATTTTGTTGGGTTTGAACCTGTGCAGGGGTCATGTCTACTGTCACAATCCCTGTGAGTTCATACGTGTATCAGCTCTGTTGTGTCTCGAAGACACTGTTTCCTTGGAGTCATGCACCACAGTTGACTTTTAAAATTGTTATGGGAGTAACCAACCACTTTTTTTGAGATGCACTCCACACCTGACACTATTAAAGTGGACAGGAACCTGAGACTAAATAGGTCCTGGGCTGAGGGGAAAGCCTATTACCATTATTCTCCTAAAGGGACATTGAAACAAAATGACCCAGATGGCATACTGCTATACCCAAAGATCAGTGTCTCCCACTCAAGACTCAACATAAAAGTTTCTTCACGCAGTAGATGGAAATTAACTCAGAGATGCACATCTGGCAAAGTGCAGAGAGAGCGAGGAAGGTTGGAGAACCCAGTCCTAAACGGGATGTCATTACCAAAGTCCTCCCCTCAAGGATCAGGGGTCTCTGTGGAAAAAGAAGCAGAAAGGTTGTAATTTTTCAGCACTTACTAACGTGATTTTGTGGAAACATTTTAACTTCTATGTAAAGCTGTAATCTACATCCCTCCATGTACACATGTGTCCAGCACTCACTGTCATGGTTACTTGAGAATATGTTGGCTCTTTTGCAAGTTATATAGCACATCATTTCCTGATTGGCATTGAGACATTTCTAGTTTTTAACATAATATACAAAGATGGTATAGGTACATTTCTACAGATGTTTTTGAATATTTGCTGTCTAATTTTTTCGGTTGCATTTTCAGTAATAGACCCTGATTAAAGGCAGGAACATTAACATTTTGAAGTATGTTGCCAAACTTCTGGTGGTAGCTTGGTAGACTCTTTCTTCACAAGTAATTTACCAGCAGTAAATTTCATAAAGTTTATGATTCTTCTAAAGATTTATTTTTATCATTTTTTGTCATGGGTGTGTGTGTATTTGTGTAGAAGCATACATGCATGTGACTGCAGAAGCCCTCAGAGGCCAGAGGCATGAAATGTGAGCTCCAGGAACTGAATTGCAATTGTCTGTAAGAACAGCACATGTACTTTTCTGCTGAGACATCTCTCCATCTCTGCATTTCATAAAGTTTATAGGTTTGCTGACTGGATAAGCAATCAAGTTCACTGCTGTCTGAGTCTTCAGGTTATGTCCGGGTGTTGAGCACTGGTGCTGAAGTTGCTAAGGAATTTGAAATTTCGCTGGTGATGATGTCCCCAATCTGTCGTCTCTCCAAATGGAACTCCCTTAGAATTGAAAAAAAGGTAGGTGTTTCTCTGCAGAGGATGGATACTAGTCCCCTAGCTACCACTGAGGGATGGAGTTCTTTGGGTTGCATAGATACTTTCAGGATGCTTGACTACCAACTGTTAGCAAATAAGAAGTTTTCTCCCACAACTGCTTTCTTTTTCTATCCTTGACCTGAGACTAATTCTTTTGAATTATAGTTCTTTTTCAAATATAAAACATCCCTTACCTTTGTACTGCCTTTATATCTTCAATTGTCAAATTATTCATATTCTTCTAGAACTGAATAGACATTTTTTTTTAAGACAGAAGAAAAACACAGAAGACCCAAAGTGGTTCTTATCCTTTCTAAGGCTATGACCCTTTAATACAGTTCCTCATAGTGTGGTGGTCCTCAACCATAAAAATACTCCATTGCTATTTAATAACTGTAATTTTGTTGTTATTACAAATCATAATGCAAATATCTGATATGCAGAATATTTAATATGTGAACCTCAAAGGAGTCACAATCCATAGGTTGAGAACTACTGTCCTAAGTGGTGGTGACAGTAATTCAAACCAGCTTGAAGGAAAACTTCCCAGATGTGTGTGACAGATTCAGTTCTTAGTTCCTAGTCTCCTAAGGTTGTGCCATATGTAAAGATTTATTCCTGGGGAGTCCATTTGATGACCTGTCACACTTCCTATATGGCAGGAACACTATCTCTGTCCCATCTTCTGTGGATGAATCAGGGGCATGTTATACCTCAGTGGACCATTGAGGATATTCTAAGACCGCTGGTTTCACAGTTCCACCTCTTGGTTCTGTGGCTGCAGACACCTGGACTCCTCTTGCTCTACTCCTGTATAAGAGATTTAAACACACAATGCTTCCACACTAATTCTTTCTCATTTTCTCACTAGTGTGAGTTATTTCAGGTCACCGAGTCTTTGTAAATGATCTCAGTATTCCCCACACTCTCATTTTGTTGGAAGATTTATTTAGGATCCAAAAGCTACTGAATGAATTAACTTTTAAATATGACTCATGCTTCGAAGGAGGAAAGCAGATACATCAAAGGGATGATAAAATCCTAGCTTTTGCTTATTTTATTGCCCCCACATTAATCCAGGCTACTTTTATTCTTAAAAACACCTTGAAACTTTCCCAAACCACATGGTGAATCCCAGTGGCCAACCTGCCCTGAGATTCTTCATTGCATAAGGCTGTCTCACTTCTAATGAATTTAGCACTGTTCGAGATGCTTCTGTCTCTAGTGACCCAAGATGTCCTCATGGCTTTTATCTTGGAAAGATTTTGGTTATTTGGCCACATTGTCACCATACTTTGATGCAGTTTGTTTGCTTTTGGAAGATTTAGATTATTTCTGCATTAGGAGTCAACCTTAAACAAAATACAACTTCACAGAGTATCCCCACATACCTTTGGACAATTAGAATATGTCGGCTCAACATACAGAACTCATAAGCAACCTAGAACCATTTCTCAAAGAGAAGGGATACAATGACCTCTGCATGGCTATGCCATTGCTTTTGAACCTGAATTATGAATCCTTTTATTTTATTTTAAAAATAAAACAATCTTTTTTCATTTTACATACCAATCCCAGTTCCCACTCCCTTTTTTCCTCCCATTCCTTCCACCTTTCCCACTACCCCACTCCCCGTCCACTCCTCAGAGGGTAAGGCACATTGCTTTGGGGAAGGTTCAAGGTCCTCTATATCTAGACTATATCTAGACTGAGCAAGGTAGCCATCCAAAAAGAATTCCCCAAAAGCCTGTACAGGCTGTAGCGATAAATCCTGGTGCACTGACAGTGGCCCCACAGTCTGTGCAAGCCATACAACTTTCACCCACATTCATAGGATCTAGTTTGGACCTATGATGGCTACTTTCCTGTCTGGCTGAAGTTGGTGAGCTTCCATTAGCTCAGGTAGACTGTTTCAGTGGGTGTCCCCCTCAGGGTCGTGACCTCTTTTCTCATAGTCTTACTCCTCCTACTCTTCAGTTGGACTTTGGGAGCTCAACCCAGTGCTCTGCTGAAGATCTCTGCCTCTGTTTTCATTAGTTGCTGGATGAAGGTTCTATGGTGGCATTTAAGATAGTCATCAATCTGACTACAGGGCAAAGCCAGTTCAGGTATGCCAGAACAGGTCACGAAAGGCCTCAGTGACTCCCTGAGACACAGACAGTGACAGAGAAGACCAACAAAAGTTCCCAAAGACACAGACAGCCATTGCAAGGATTGGACCAAGAGGCAAAGATACTGCTGGCACCATTTGGAGGAAGAGATGGGTAGGTGCCAGTACAAGAATTCATTCAACAACCTAAAACACAACATGGTAACATCAGAACCCAGAGGTCATACAACAGGAAGACTTGATCATCCTTACTCAGAGGAACCATAAAAAAATGATTTTAAATGTAACTTTATGAGGATGATTGAGACCTTTAAGGAGGAAATGAAAAATTTCATTCAAGCAGTCGAGGAAAAGACAAGCAAAAAATTGGAAGAAATAAATAATTATCTCAAAGAAACCCAAGAAAATCAGGAAAAAAACCAATCAAACAGGAAGCAAACAGTTCCAACAGCTCAAGATTTGAAAACTGGAATAGAGGCAATAAAGAAAACATGAACCAAAAGAATTCTGGGTATGGAAAATCTGAGTAAATGAATGGGAACTACAGATTAAGTAAGCATAAGCAACAGAATACGAGAGATGGAAGGGAGAATCTCAGGGGATGAAGTTACTATAAAGAAAATAGATTCTTCAGTCAAAGAAATGTTAAATCCAACAAATTCTTAACATAAAACATCTGGGAAACCTGGGATTCATGAAAAGACCAAACCTAAGAATAATAGGGATAGAAGAAGGAGAATAACTCCAACTCAAAGGCACAGAAAATATATTCAACAAAATCACAGAAGAAAACTTTCCCAACCTAAAGAAGGATATCTCTATAAAGGTACAAGAAGCTTACAGAACACAAAATAGGCTGGACCAAAAATAAATCTTTTAATTTCCTATTTCTACTAGCTCTTTGAGAATCTTGTACATTGTGTTTGCTCATATTTACTCTCTCCCAACTCCTTCCAGATCCATCTGTCATCCCAACAAACTCAACTTCATGTCCTTTTAAAAAAAACAAGACAAAACAAGCAAAAATAACAGGAATGTCAAGTACAGTGTGTGCTGCCCATGGACTGGGATGTGCAGCCTTCACTGGGTACAAACAGGGTATTAACATGGGCCATAACCTTAAAGAAAATACACTCTTTCTCCCAGGAGCTATAAATTCAGTCTTGCCTTAACTAGGTGTGGGATTTCACACCTACCTCCCATCTCCATGCTGAAATTTTCTCTGGCTTGAGCATGCATGGGTCTTGTGCATGCTGTCATAGCTGCTGCAAGTTGACTTCATATGTACAAGTGCCTTGCCAAGTCCAGAGGATACTCCTCTCTTGTAGTGAACCATTGCCTTTGGTTCTTAAAATATTATTGTCCCCTCTTCTGGGCTGAGCCCTGAGCCCTGGGAAGAGGTTGGTTATTAGTGCTTTAAGAGATTTATTTATATTGGAATTCAGGACTGTGAAGAGTCAAAAAAAAAGAAGGAATAAAGAAAATTGGATTTATCATTCTCTTTACACACTGAGAGCAGTACAGCATCATTTGAAATATTTATACTTGTAATCATTTTCTGTCTTGAGGTCAGTAACAGTTATAAATTGATGGGGATTCTGGAACTATTGATAAAATCTGAAGATAATAATTCAGGAAATCCAGTCAACACTAAGTCTATTATTTAGGAAAGATTTAAGATAGATGAGAAAAACATTTGCTTTTAAATAAATTGTCACTTTTTTCCCATGCAGTCAGACCTCTAGTCTATGTCAGGAGTTCTCAGACTTCACCACTTACTCATTGCAAAGCCCCGGGAGTCTTCTATAAAGATGATGATAACAATGACAGAGAAGATGGTCAGTCTCATTCCAAATATACAGATTCAAATTTGAGACTTCGGTTTAAAACTTTCTTCTTTTAAGCAATTCCGGTGGAGCAGGCTGAAAAGCACAGGCTTGTATAGCACTGTGTCACCCAGTCCAATGCTGTCTCTTACTGCTTCCCTAAGGATTTGACCACTCTTAGTTTCATGGAATATTTGTGAGGTTGCTTTGGAATTTCTGGTATATTTTAAAATCAATAAATATGCTTTTAAAACATAAATATCTCATTGACTTCCCTTATTAGTGTCACAAAATGCCTGACAGAAGAAACGTAGGCGGGAAGGTTCACTTTGACTCATGGTTTAACATGACACAGACCACCATGGCCGTAAATACATGGTGGCCAGAACTGAGCCTGTGCCAGATGAAACTGATGCCTCGGATTATTATATCTCAATGGATCAGACAGCAAAGGGGGATCAGGAGAGAGGAGGAAGAGACCCCAAAAGAAGTTGAAAACAGAGAGGGTAATATATTGCAAGTAAAAAAGAGGGTGAGGGTAGGACAGCCCCGGGAGAAGAAAGAAAGAGAATCATCAGAGGCAGAGCCCAGGTACACAGGGAAGGGTAGTAAAGGATCAAACGATGGAGAACAAAGTGTAATAAATATGTCATTACTGAAAAATGACCACAGTGTACACTAACCTTAAAGCCAACTTAGAAATTCGAACACAGAAGCATAGACACACACACAGACACACACACACAATGACACTGAAAGCGGACCCTATCGACATCATTCAAAGCCCATCCCCTGCCCTTCTATTCCTAAAGGTCTGCAATTTCTATGAAGAGCATACCAACTGGAGACCAGGTTCTCAAACACATGAGTCTGTGAGCGACTCTTGGCATTTAGACAGAAGCAGTAGAGTTGAAAATGCATTGCTAATGCATGTAATTCTCAAGGTGAGTTCTCACAAGGTGGCAAGAACATCACCTGTGATGTGGGGGTTTGTGATGATGTTCTGGTTTTCTCTAGTGTCATCTGGACTATGTGCAAAAAACTTT